TAAGTAAATGTAAGTTCCATCAGGGCCACAGTGTCTAGTTCCGGTTGTTGTCTGATTTATGGTTAAATTCATAATTAAAAACCTCTATCAGGCCAGGTGGTGGTGGCGCACACCTTTAATCCCAGCACATGGGAGGTAGAGGCAGGCAGATCTCTGAGAGTTCGAGACCAGCCTGTTCTACAAAAGCTAGTTCCAGGATAGCCTCCAAAGCCACGGAGAAACCCTGTCTCAAAAAACAAACAAACAAAAAAACCTCTATCAGATGAATTGGCTTGTTACTTGATTTAATCTGTTTCTTTACTATGGTCCTATTATGGGTAACATTAACAGTTGTCCCAGTTTGTCCCATAATAGGATATTATTCAAACATGAAGTAAAGTAGAATAAATGCCCCTCAAATTTGACAGCTAGAGCTTTACTAACTTAGAAGTTATGATTTCTTATATTAGCTACAAGCTGCTTTTAATGTGATGAATCAGAATACTTGGTGGATTTTAGTTGAAGCCCAAAGTTTAATTGTAAATTCTCTGAATCCCAAGGATATACAGAACGCTAACCTTAAGTTACTTAAGGAACACTAATAATGTCTATTTTTACTTAAGTTACAATGACCCAGTTCTTTTAGAATTCATTAATGTTTATTACTTTGTGATTAAAAAAAGCAGTAGAGGATTATAGGAAGATACATACATGTATGATTTAGTTACTGATATTTATACATTTGACTTTTTTCTTAAGGGATTTTCCTATTTTGACTTTGGTTTGCTTTTGCAATTTTTACGTTAGTTGCAATTTGTGCAATGCTAGGAGGTAACCTAAAACTTAAAGCAAAGAGCATGTGACACTTAGAGATGCTGTGTCTTACGATTTAGAGCAGCTGGACATTAGTCATAAAATAGTATTATAGAAAGAGTATGAAATGTAGCTCATAATTCTCATGGATTATATACTTCTCTTGAAATGACAATCTGTTAAAATTTGAATAAGAAAACTTTTGTTATTTTTTATCAAATACCAATTTTATAAAATATCAAATGATGTAAAGATATATAAATAGCTTTTATATGTAAGTGATGACGTTCATAGATACATGTTTCTATATAACATATATATCACTTACCTGAAATGTGGGGTTACCAGAGAAAAAATTTGAAAAAGTGGTAAATTGGTTCATCCAAGTTCACAGTTTATTCTCACAACATAGGTGTGTAGACAGTTTGTTTAGATGTTTGATTTCCTCCCATCTGTTCTGTCAGGATTATCGATTGAGCAGCAAGGCACTCCAGGGCACACATCGCCTCCTTATAATTGCTAGCCTTGAGTGCGTTGTTTGGCCTGACTAGCAAACTGAGAAAGGTGTCTCTTTACTCTTTCAGTAAATCCTTTTTGGTAAAATGATACTTGTATTAAAATGTTTTTGAAAATGCCTGTTCTGTTAATATTGGAAGCATTTACTTAATAGTGCCATTTTGAAATACACAGCATTTAAATATCATCCTTTAAAACTGCTGTTTAAGAGTTTATTTGTGAATTGTTTTTCATTTACCTACCAGTATTGTTTTTAGTAAGTACAAGTATTTTCATCAGATGTTTGATGTTAACTGATAATCTGTTTTGTCCTGCTTGAATATTGGGTTTTATTATGTCCGAGAGTAAAGCAATTTCTGATTCTGGAAGGAAACTGAAACAGCCTGTGTCTTGGAGTTTGTGCTGTTTGGCTTTTGATTTGATGTGGTCTCTTCTCACTTAATGACATATACTTTCCTTTTAGTACATTTTTTTTGTCTCTTTGTGGAAATGGTATTGAGTGGGCAAGCTACATCTAAGATTACAAAGGGTGTTAGGATGGAAGGCAGTGTTGGATGACTGCACACATGCTGCATATGTAGTTGGGGGTGAAAGTGTGTCATTTTAAGGTAAGGAACACTTAGGTCATTTCATCCAAGGCCAGTCTTTTACTGACTTGTTTTCAGACTATATTCTGATTTGCAGCTATAGCCTAATAAGGTGATGGCATAAGTGTAATGGCTCTGAAGTATACTTCCCTATTACTATACCCTTAGACCACTGTCTTTCATACCCTTATCAGCTTCACAGTGACCATGAAATGTTGATCTGGCTTGCTACAGAAAAGTCATCATTTCAAGTGACCAGAGAGATTTTTAACAATTCCCTTAAAAAGTGCAAATTTCCCACACTACTAGAATTTTAGAAAAAGAAGTATTTTGAGTGAGGGAATAAATCTTTTTTCTAAGAAATAATACAAAAGACCTATATTTGGAATAAGTAATTTGATTTGGAAATTTGAGAGTATTTCACAGAATTATGCTTTAAAAGCATTCCATATAAGAGAGAAAAATATATAGTATGAAGAATGGAATATGTTTCACATTATGTGTCTGTGTGGAATATAGTAGTCATTTATATTTTATTTCACCTTGCAACTTACATAAAATGTTTTTTGTAGTTGATAGCAAAGTCTCAAGAGTGTGGCTGAGTTGTTAGGGTTGTGTTCTCAGCAATGCTGAAGTCTGCATGTCAGTAACACAATGCATTGCATCAGTATTGTTGACCACAAAGAGATAGCAGGCAATTCCAATTACATCATGTCAACGAAGGACCATGTGTCAGATACAAAACCACCTATTTTGAGCATTAGTTTTTATTTTGCAAAGCTAAATAAAATATTTTATCGAATAGATTTTTTCTCACAATTCAGTTTTGGTTTTTAGTTGCTATTCTCTTCTAAATGAAACCCTCTTTTTATGTACTCCTACCCTTCTGGCTGAAAACCAGGTATTTAAACAAAAATAAAGGATTGCCAGTTTTGCCAGCTGGGGATGAGAACCCGGCTGGTGAAATGTGGGTTCAGAAGGCAGTTAATCCAGCTTTTATGCTTTTTATGGTTTTATGAAAAAAGAGGTTAAAAACCACATTTGGCTCCTTTTCATGTATGCCACTGTTTTGTTGGTGTTGTAGGAATCCAGTTAAAGATTAGATTTTTGTTTAGTTTCGTTATTGGGTAAAATCCTGTATCAGTTAGATAAAGATAAAGGTCCAGAAAACAATGCACTCTACTAATGAGCTTTGAAATAGTTGCTGTTACTGTAAAAGGTACATGCTATATTTCCTTTAAGAAATAAATTGCTTATGCTTCTTGAGGCTATTCCTTATATCCTGTTTGTTCCCATATTACTTACTCAGATATGTAAATGATGTTTTGTCTATTAAAAAAACTAAAGTTTCTCTTACAGAAAATATTTTCTGTAGTTACAATAACTGATGTTTTTAAGTTACGGATGATTTTCTTGATTTCTTTGGCAATAAAACAACTATATAGTTGAGTTTTTTAAATGCTGTCCTTTATCTTTAAATACTTCTGCTCAAGTGCCTTTTCTAGTAGGTAACTTTAATGTGACTGCTAGAAATCCCTAAAATTCAATACAGCAATCTAATTCAAAATAAGATTTTCTTTTTAGTTGATGAAATTCATATTCTAGATCAGATTTCCTCAAAGCTCAAAGGGGTCAGATAAACTGAAATTAATGTTAATTTAAATGTAGTTATCTGAATTAAGTATTGGACATTGTCTCTAGATGAGGAATATTTCATTGGGCAAGAACCATATTTGCAGTGGAGGGTATAGCTTAGTGGCAGAGCACTTGCTTACCATGTACAAGGCCTTGGGATCTCTGGTTACAGTTCATGCTGGGGTCAGCACTCATAGTAAATGGCCATGTTTGAATTAGAAGAGATTGTTCTAATGTAACCAAAGTGATAGATACTTTTATGCCATAACTAGCTAAATTGTTTTTGCATCTTACATATTTTGATAAATAATATATATATATACGTACACATATATATACACATATATAGGGACATGTATCATCCATAGCTTCTGTCTCTCCCCTCTATCTCTCCCTTTCCTCTCTCCTCCTCTTCCCCCCCCACCTGTCTTGTCTCTCTCTCTCTCTCTTGGAGACAAGATTTCTCGGTATAGCCCTACTCTCCTGTAGACCAGGCTGGCCTTGAACTCAGAGATCTACTGCCTCTGCCTGCTAAGTGCTGTGCCATCACACCTGGCTGAAGTTTGTTGTTTCTCGGCTTAAGATATAAAATATATATTTCAAAACAATAGATACTGATACTCATTCTGAAAGATTTTCTGAAAGATTTTGAAAACACAAGGGCTCCTAATAATTGTTACATTTATTATGTTGCTGCCATACACTATACTGATCATTCTTTAAATTGGTGTTTTTATCTTTCACTGTTTGGTTTATATTACTGCCCTTTTTTAATTGGATTTATTTTGTGTGCATAAATTTTTTGCCTCTCTGTATATGTGTGCATTATCATGGTCACAAAGTGCCCAAAGAGATCAGAGGAGGATGTCTGTTCCCTTTAAACTAGAGTTACAGATAGTTGTGAGCCACCATATGAGTTCTGGGCTTGGAATCCAGCTCTTCTAGTTACTGATAGCCACTGAGCAAGCTTTCATGTCCTGTTTTCCTTCTTGTTTTAAACTTACTTCTTAAAGTAAAATGTATAACGCACAGTATGTGATCTTTCATGAGCATGGCCTAATTTTAGGTTGTTGCAGGGACTCAAATGTGAAATGCAGTAGACCTAAAAGAATATAAGCAAACATACTAGCTGATGCTTTTCATTTGATTATGTAGATATGGAAGTACTTCATATTCATTTAACAAAATTTTCAGGACCTTTGCTTTATGTACATTGAATGTCTCTGAATATACGTTAACTGTTTCATATAAGTAATTGAAGATGTATTCATTTTTATATAAAATTCATTTCTATTGAACAGTGCTTTAACCATTAATGTACATGGGCTGGGCATGGCACTCCAGAGGCACACAGACAGATCTCTATGATTTTGAGGCCAACTTAGTCTACATAGCAAGGCCATATAGTGACGGTGTCGCATAATAATACCAATAATAATTAATAATTCATTTTGCTGGTTTCACTTCTAGGTATTAGAAGATAATGACTATGGCCGAGCAGTAGACTGGTGGGGCCTGGGTGTTGTCATGTATGAAATGATGTGTGGGAGGTTGCCTTTCTACAACCAGGATCATGAGAAACTCTTTGAACTAATACTAATGGAAGACATTAAATTTCCCCGAACACTCTCTTCAGATGCAAAATCATTGCTTTCAGGGCTCTTGATAAAGGATCCCAATAAACGGTAAGCCTTGATAACAATCCATATGTTGCTGATGAATTTTGTTAGAGTTCATGAATTGAAAGTTAATTGAAATATAACTGACTCCAGGAAGCATTGCATTTGGTGTAGATATTTTCCCACTGAAATACTGACTTATTTTAAGTGTATACTCTAGAACAGTTTCAAGTACATCAACTCTTTTTTATTTTAGAAACAATCTTATTTTACATATCAATCCCTCCATTCCCTTGCCCTCCCATCTTCCCATGCTTTCTACCCATCCTCCCAAGGATAGTGAGGCCTTCCAGGGGGAATCATCACTTGGGGGAGGGCCAAGGCTGTCTTTTGTGTATCTGGGCTGCAATAGTATCCCTCCATAGGGAATGGACTCCCAAAGTCCATTTGTGTATAAGGGATAAACACTGGCTTCACTTTTAGAAGTCCCATATACTGCCCAGGCCTCTCAGCTGGCACATTCAACATTGGTCCAATGCTGGTTCCCAGCTTTACAGCTAAGGAATCCATGCTCTCACTAGATCAGGTCAACTGTTTCTGTAGGTTTCTCCAGCACGGTCTTGACTCTTTGCTCATCCCTCCTCCCTCTCTTCAACTGGATTCCAGGAGTATGTCTGGCTCAGTGTTTAGCTGTGGGTGCCTAATTCTACTTTGATAACTAGGATCTAGGATGGCAGTTAAGGTAGTCATCATTCTCTTTATAGGGGAAGGCCATCAAAGGCAACTTCTCCACTGCTGCCTAGATTCTTAGTTGGGGTCATCCTTGTGGATCTCTGAACATTTCCCTAGTGCCAGATTTCTCTTTAAACCTATCCTGGCTCCCTCTATTAAGGTGTCTCTTTTGTTGCTCTCCTCTATTCCTCTCCTGTCTCAGTCGTCCTGATCCCTCTTCCTCTTTTTCCTACCTCCATCCCTTCTCCCAGTTTGCTCAGGGGTTCTTGTCCCTTTCCCCTTCTTCGGGGGACCACAAACACATCAAGTCTTTCCTAACTTGAAAGTATTATACAAACTTTCCAAATAGTGGATTTTGAGAAGTTCTTTATGTATATTAAGAGTAAACATTGTCTTAGTTACTTACCCTAAAGCTTAGTCTTGTAGGCATGGCGGGGGTGGGGTGTGGTACCTTTTCTGCTTTCAGTCTCTGGGGCTATATATGTCTCTTGGCTCACATCATTGGGAGAAAGGTCTGTTTCTACTTTCTTCTCCCCCCACTAAATCCAAGTTAACATTTCTATTTTTTGTTAATTTTTTTCAGGTATGGCTAAAAATTTGATGTAATAATTAGACACGGTCATTTAGTTTTTACAGATATGCTTTGCTTATGGCCTAAATTCTCCTACAGCCTTTATTGCTCAGTTTCTGTATTTTGCCATTTATGTATTAATTCACAATATACTCACTAGTAATACGTGAAATGATTTGTTTATAAAATGCCAAATGCTCCATAATTTGAGAGAATGCCTGCGTCTTCTCTCACTTCCTATTGTGTGTGTGTGTGTGAGTGTGTGAGTGTGTGTGTGCACGTGCGTGTGTGTGTGTGTGTGTGCGTGTGTGTGTGAGGGGGAGGAGAGGAGAGGAGAGAAGAGAATCTTGTTAGGGACGCTGTAGTGTAGATTGTTATGTCACACAGTTTATCCTTTAGTATGTTCATCTTTACTTGCAAGTGCTATTGCCATAAGTCAGTGTGTCTTGCTCAAGGCCTCTGGCTTCTGCTATACCACTGATAATGGACTGTCACTGGAGATCCTCTTGGATACCCTGTTATTGTCCTGTGTCACAGAGATCCTACTGTTTTGGATCTATAGGTTCTTCCCTTCACATTCTCCAACAGTTCATAGATTTGGTGGATGTTGTGATGTGCCAACTCATAGCCCTGGTCCTGGGCCTGGGTGGTAATTGGATTGGTCTGCTTGTTACCTTTTCCCCATTATTACCACCTGACGGGATCTCCATTACTGCCTGGGCCCGGTTACACAGTGCAGCTTATAGATAGAAGTGGGTCCAGTTCTCCTGCTGTCAGGTTCAGAAATCAGGCTCACCCACACTCACACCACCAGAGCCAATAGAATTGGCCCTGGGATAGCTGGTCCTGTCCATCACCACTGGTATGCACCTCACTAGGCAGCAGGCTAGAACTAACTGACCGTGTGAGTCAGGGACACAGGAGATTCCACCCTGAAAGACACCCTGCCTCCCTACAACTCGCCCTCCATCTGTCATTTGGTGCCATGGGTGAGGGAAAGATATGCTCCCCCATCACTCTGTTTTATGAAGACTATTCAAGGATCATATTGAGTGATCTTAGTGACTGAGGTATTTCCTTAGACTTATAAAATAGTTTTCTTCCTGTTCCCCCCCCCCCCCAGGTTCTTTCCTATGATTTATTTAGTTTGCTTTCTAGGAGCCTTCCAGAGTAGATTGTGTAGACACTATAAGAATTTCATGTACAGAAGGTAAATGATTTGTTGTGATCTCACTGAAAGTTCATGTGGAACAGGACTAGAAAACCAAATTTCTGATGTGTGCATAGTGTTTCTTATGTATCTTGTAAGCGGTGCACCAATTCCTCAGTATAGGTTTACATTTGAAGAGTGTTGCATTTAAAGTGATTATTTCACAGTTATGTAATGAGCAGAGCTTACTGAAAGGTTGTTTTTAAGCAGAGCTATGCATACTAATTCATCTTTTTAGTGGGGGGGAGAATCTAATATTTGGCTTGGTTTCAAGGGCAGTGAATTTTTTGTGTTTAATTTTTTTGTTTAATTTTTTTGTGTTTTTCTTATAATTTTTCATTTTAGAAACAGTCTTGTTTTGTATAACAATCCTCCCATTTCCTAGCCCTCCCATCCTCCCATGCTTGCCACTGACCCTCCCCAACCCATCCCCAATCCACTCCCCAAGGATAGTGAGACCCTCCATGGGGGGTGGCATCAAAGTCCTTCACATCATTTGGGGGAGGGCCTAGACCCTCTTTCTTGTATCTGGGCTGTAATAGTAACCCTCCATAGGGAATGGGCTCCCAAAGTCCATTTGTGCACTAAGGATAAACACTGGTTCCACTATTAAAGGTTCCATAGACTGTCCAGGCTTCCCAGCTGGCACCTACATTCAGAGGGCTTAGTTCAGTCTAATGCTGGTTCCCCAGCTTTACAGCTAGGGGCTCTGTGCTTTCACTAGGTCAGGTCAGCTGTTTCTGTGGGTTTCTCTAGCACAGTCTTGACTCTGCTCATCCCTCCTCCCTCTCTTCAACTGGATTCCGGGAGTATGGCTCAGTGTTTAGCTGTGGGTGCCTGTTTCTAAGGGCAGTGAACTTTTATCCCATTTTTTTCCTCACTCTTTCAGATAACTTTAGTCACTCTTTGTTCTGTGGTTGTCTCTTTAAGTGGCTGTCGAAACAAAGTGTTGTTTGTGTTATTTGTGCCTCATTAATTTATCTACTATTGATTCATTCCCATCTTACAGATAGCATATAATAGGTACTTAGGAACTTTTGAATTTATGTCAGGTAAATTTCAGGAGTGTTAGGGCCCTGATACATATTTTCTTCTCTCAGGCTTATAAAGCTTTATTTTATGGGTCAAGCCTCTGTACTGCTGCATCAAAGTACCAACTATGCAAAGATAGATAGCATGAACACATCTTTCTAGACATCTGTAGAGTAACAAAGAGAACAAACCTACACTTGCATATTTTTAGGCCAAACTATGTGCAAATGCTCTGGAAATCGTTAGCCCAGCCTAAGAGACTTTGAGAACCTGAGCTGGTCTCAGGCAGCATTTGCATGTGAAATACAGCTAGAATTGCATGTGAACATGGCATTTGAAAAGTCCAGTGACTAGATTGCAGAGTGTGAGTTGGGTACCATTGAAAGATGAAACAGGTGATTAGATTGTAAGGATCTCATGTTTCTTGGAAATAATCGTTATTTGGGGAAGGATGAGAAACCAGAAGAATGCTTTAAAGAAAGAGGTGGTATAATGAGATCGTTGAGATACTCCCTGGTAGTATGAAGCCATCTGATTGGAATACTGCAGCGCAGGAGACCAGAGCACTTTACACAGCCTATGTGGCAGATGCATCCATTAGTTAGGATGCTGAGACAAGAGGGTTAGGATTTGAGGCCTGCCTGAGCAACATAGGGAGATTGCATCTTAAAAACAAACAATGGACAGAGATTTCTAGATAAGAAAATAGGTTAACCTTGAAGCAAAGGTTAAAAAACAATGCAGTTTTGAATAAATAGAAATTATAAGAAAGTTGGTGTGGAGAATTCTAGAAGTGCCCCATTAGGGTGATTAATTTAGGGAGTACAAACAAAGGCAGAGGCTTGTAGTGGTGAATGCTGAGAGTAACTTTAGATACACCAAGTCTAAGGTTTCTTTGGCAAACCTAGATGGAAATGTCAAGTGAGTATCTGGAAGAAATGCAGTCAGTGCTTGAAAGAGTCACAGTGGCCAACTGTAGATTTGGGTGCCCACTGACATCGGGGAGTAAATAACTGGAGGCAGGAGAGGAGCACAGAGAGGAGGACCTGAGTCAGAAACCTGGGAAAGAACAGTTTAGCTCTAGGGAGCAAATAGAGCCAGCAACAGCCTCCAGAAGGCTTTGAACATAACCAGATATTGAGATTTCTTTTTTCATTCAACTACTTTAAGTGATGCCTGAATTTTTCTGACATCCTTAACTGGATTTCTGTGAGTTCTCCCAAAGGATTAATCATTATTAGACTTTTTTTTCAACATAATATTTTTACTGATTATTGATTATTTGGGAATTTCACATTGTGCACCCCAATCACACTCACTTCCAGTCCTCCCAAGTCTGGTTGCCCACCCTTGTGACCTCCCTCCCGAAGGAGAAGATGCACCCATCACTTAGGATGCTGAGGCATGAAGATTTGAGGTATGAGTCCAGCCTGAGCAGCATAGGGGGAGGAAGAAGAGGAAGAAAGAAGAAGAGAACACCACATATCCAATTTGTGTTACCCACATATTCAGTGGAGCATGGTCAAACTCCCGTTAGCCAGCCCCTTAGAGAAAACTGAGTCCAGAACCTTTTTGTTTGTTACTCTGTGACCCTTCTGCATGTCTTCATCCCCTCATGCTGGGTGTAATACTAAAGGAAGATAGGAATTCTGTGAGGTTCCTCATAGTAAAGAACACAGGGGAGCTCAAGCTTTATTTGTATCTGATGTTGAAGTTTAATGGTCTTAGGTATAAGTAAGTTCAAAGCATATTTTGACATCATTTTGAGGACTTTGCATTGTATATTAGGAAGTCATTGACATTGAAATTTTTGACAGCTTTGCACTTTGAAGAAACTTATAGTGGGTTTCAGCTTCTAAAATGAAATCTACAACTCTAATCTCATGGATTGCATAGCATTCACGGGCATTTTTTATGTATTTTGACAAACATGCTAGCTATGTCCTAAACCAATTATTATAAAAGAACTAAGGCTTTATACAAAAATGAATAATTAAATATAGATTGATTTTTTTAAATTTGTAGAACAGCTGTTTCTCTACTTCATGTACCTTCTCAAGTACACATAAAATGTAAAGAATATTGTGAACTATAAACAAACTGTGAACTTTAGGAAAATAGAGTTCTGATTTTTATGCAAGCTGGTTTGAGTTATACTTTGAAATATTCTTTTCAGAAATAAATATTTTGGTAGTTTTGCTCTTCTTGTTCCTTAAGCCAAGATTAGAATAACTTTGTTAACCCAGTATTAATCTCTACCTCCCAGGGAGAGACACCCTACCAAAGGAGACAGCCTATCTGGAAAAACAGTGAGTGTAGGTAGGGATCAGATGCTAAATTTTAAATAAATACAAAGTCACCAGACTGAAGATTCCAGATAAGAACTCTACTATCATATTATACAATCTAATGTCCATCTCTGGAGTGGAGTTTATTTACAGAATTCTCTGTAGATCCTTGAGCAAGCCCTCTTGCAAATATTTCACAGCAAAGCTATTCATGTAGCCACTAGTTGTGTCAGGTTGAACCTGACAGGTTAGGCTCTTCTCAGACATGGAGCTCTTACACCTGATAGCCACAATTCAGGACAGTTGGTCTGTTCTTACTTTCCCTAGCTGTTTGGTTTTTCCTTCTAGATAGTGGTGTGTTACATTGGTATTTACAGATCACCACAAGTATCTGTTAAATTTCCAGGGATATTGTAAGCTGTAGCTTTTATTCAACAGTCATTCATGGTTTTTAAAAATCAAATTATACAAATTAAATCAAGAATAGTGAAAGCAAAAGAATAACATATAATTTATCACTCTAATGATTTTGTTCCATTTTGCTCTAATCTTGTTTCTGAGACTGTGTCTGTGTGGAAACTATAGTGATTTGATTTTCTACTATGGATGTTTTAAATTGGCCATGGGGTAGTATTTCTACTACCAAAATTGACCAGTCCTCTAAGTCAGTGTTTGGTTTGTTGCTTTCATTCTTTAGACTTAAGAAGGTGATGGAGGAAAGGTTAGTAGCACAGATTGGATTAAAGAGCTTTTGGTTTGTGTGACTTTGTAAATGCCAGGAGAGGTAGATTAAGTGTTCTTCCTTGTAGAGAATTTCACATTAATCGGCAGTTACTGACAGAACCAGGTCACATTTGCTATTCCTCATGTCACTGTCTTTCTTCTCTGGCTTTAACAGAGCAGTACAAGCAAAACAAGCAGTACCCATGTCAGAAGTAATTAGAAATCATACTCATATGTAGTTGAATTTGGAATTGGGCAAATATTAAAGGTTTTCTGTGAGACTTTCATGGCAGGTTAATCATGCAAATATTCTATACTTTCTTTTGTATTTGCTATGCTTCACATCCTTTATAATAGTAGAAATCATAGTGAACTCATGCACACATATGAAAGTTTCTTATGTTAGATCCAAACTCCAGTATGTTCCTTTACCTTCTTTTTCTCTTTCTCTCCCTGTTTTTCTGTTTTCCTTCTTACCCTTCCTTTCCATTTTTATTTTCTCATGTATATTTTCTTTTTAATGAATAGGTATTAAATTAAACCATGGAAGCTAGGAAATTCTTTATTTTTTGCTATCAAGTCACATATTGTTGAAATAAAACTAACTTTAAAACATGGGGGTGTATTTTTAACTTTTATTCTTATATTCTGAATTTCATAGTAAATTGAACTGTAAGGATATTTCATAGATAACACTATTGTTTCTGTGCAATTTTTTTGAGATATAAAAACAATTTTGAGTTTTTATTTGGAACACTACTCTCCGGAGAGTTCTTTGTTATTGTTCTTTTTGATACATGGTCTCAGTCTCTCTGTGTACCCCTGGATGTTCTGGAACTCACTGTGTAGACCAGGCTGGCCTTGAACTTACTCTGTAGACTAGGTTGGCCTCAAGCTCAGATGTCTGCTTCAGCCTCTCTCGTATTGGGATTAACTATATTAGGATCACAGATATTCCTCTCTCAGAATTGCCTGTCTCTTAAGGCCTCGCTCGCTCCACAACCTTTGTCTTTTTTCTTGGTTTAAGGGTGGTTCTTCTGATTTGGGATCTTTGGAAAATTTAGGTATTAAAGTTATTTATTTTTTATTTTTAAGGTTATGCATTTAACAATTATTAATAACACTGTAAATTTTATATACACACAAGTTTCATTGTGTGGCTTATGTAAATGTTTTGCATCCATTTAATTTTATTTCTGTCCTTGCAGCCTTGGTGGAGGACCAGATGATGCAAAAGAAATCATGAGGCATAGTTTCTTTTCTGGAGTAAACTGGCAAGATGTGTACGACAAAAAGGTAAAGTATTTTTGTAGTACTGTACACAGCAGAAGTTTATGGGAATAGATTTTAATGATGCAATGATACTATCTTTTTTACTTTGGTGTTTAAATGATGACCAAACTTCTTAGCACAAATTTTTATTCATAATTTTGTGCCTCTCGAAACTCTTCTAAAGATGTTCAAAGAGTTTATTTTGTGTTTTCTTCAGCCTTATTTCTTCCAGTTGCAAAAAAAGGCATCTGACATTTTTTATTTTTTCCTTTAGATAAGCCAAAAATGAAGTAATTTTAAAAATTGCTTTTATGTCTTTAATTCAAAACATTTCACATTCAAATATATAAATCCTCATTTTAAAACCATTTGCAGAAAGTTTCTGTATTTAACAGTGTAATGTTTTATGGTCTTATTTGTATGCTCTCTGTTACTTGTAACATAACTTTATTTCCCACAGAAGTGATTGCTACCAATTATGTATCTTTATTTTTATTCTAATGTGCAGATTTCCTATTGGTTTTGGTTCATCGTTTGAGACTGTGTCACACTTGGCTCAGGCTGTCGTGGAGCTTGCTGTGCGTTGTGGGCCTGCCTTCAGCCACAGTGGTTCTCTAGGCTGGCCCTCATAGTACTGTGTTTCAGATATCTTAGTACTCCACTTTGCTTTTAGGTACTGTTAATATAGATACTGAGTTTGAGTTTCAAATGCTCCCATAATTTTTTGTGTATGTGTGTGTGGTGGTGGTGGGGTTCTGCGTTCTCTTACACTGAACCTGGAGCTCACTGATGAGGTTGGCCTGGTTGGCCAGTGAGCTCCAGGGATGTGCTTGTCTCTGTCCTTCAGCTGTGGGTATCACTGTGTGCTAGTATGCCTAGCTTTTTACATGGGTGCTGGAAATCTGAACTCAGGGTCTCATGTTTGTGTGCCAGTTACTTTACCTAATGAGGTATCTCTCCAGCTCGTTATAGAAATTTTTATTGTGAAATTTTGATGTAGTTCAGTAATTTACTTAATATTTTATCTAATTTTTGTCTAATCTAGCCATTTCTGGATTTCTTTATTTTTATCTGAAATATTTGTTTTGTGCCAAATACTTTTCTCTTTGAGCCCCATAAAAGAATGACAATACAAATAACATGAGAAATGGCTGGTATTTCATTTTTATTTTATGTTGTTAGCAGTGGGAAATTTGGTGATTTTCTTCCTTTTCCTGTGTCTAAGCATTTAAAATAATTGTCCATTTTAACACTTTGCTCAAATCTTCACTTCAGTCAAACTCATGTATTTTGAGTTCCTAACATGTGAAAGCACATGTATGAGCATTCTGAAAGCTGTGAATGCTTATTGACTTGATATAGACAATTTCATCCACTTTATATCATTGATTACAATCCTTCTGAGATACATGTGTAGCTAACAGCCTCTGTGAGCTATTTTCTACACTACAAAAGAGCTGGAAATAATGCATTATCAGTATAAGCACCTGCACTCATTTGCCAGGCCAAGGTCACCGGATATGGCCACTAGGAATGAAATCAGGCCAGGTTGGAAGAGCCACAGCACAACAGAGGCTCTGATAATTTTATTGAGAGCAATCAGACTTTTTGTACCTTTGTCAGAAACAGAATATAATGACAATTGCCAGGATCAATACAGTTGTAGTTGCCAGAATTCAGTGGTATATGCAAGTCATACAGAGTACAGAAGATTAATGTGTAGTACCAGTTGTCCTGTCAGCTTCCATGTTTCCTTTACCATAATACAGAGAAACACAAAGCAGCCTGAACACTTCACCACCTTAGTGCATGCATCAGTGTCTGAGGAACTGGAAGTCACAATGTGCATCAGGACCCATGGGCTCTAACCTGAAAAACTTAGGATGCATGCCTTTCAAGGCAGCTAGGCCAAGCCAACTCCATGATTTCCTGCCATCAGGGACTTTCTTTGGAATATAAAACAATGAACTGCAACTTATTATCATACCTTGAATATACCCTGTCCATGAAGTATTTTTCCCAAGAACAAGTGGTTCAGTGGCAGGACTTTTGTTTAGCATGTATAGGATCCCACATTCCATCTCTAGTACCACACATGCAAAACAAGTAAAGATAAAACTAGAAAGAGGGAAAGTACTATTTATTTTGTTTGGCTTTTTGTTTTTCAAGATGGTTTCTCTGTGGCTTCGGAGGATGGCCTGGAACTAGCTCTTATAGACAGGTTGGTCTCGACTCACAAAGATCCGCCTGCCTCTGCCTCCCGAGTGCTGGGATTAAAGGCATGTGCCACCACCTTCTGGTGGAAAGTACAATATTTATAAGTAGCAATGATCAGGATAAATTGTGACTCTCCTAATCTACAGAGGGGCTTCTCAGCCCTGGAAGGAATCTTCTGTGTGAAGCATGGCTTTCCTTAGCAGTGTTGAGATGGTCACATTAAATGGCTGTAGGCAATCCTGGAGAAAGCTTTAGAACCCAACCATGTTTCTATAAAGACACACCTTACGTGTCTACTGGGATACATATAATCAGAGTAAAGATGATCCTACAATGAAGATAACCAGATATCCATCTTGTGAGAATAGAAATTGGACAAGAACAGAAGCTGCCAAAATATAACTTTATGAAATTAATGTAAAGAAATAAGTACAGAGCACATTACAAGAAATGCAAGCAAAAAAGTGTCAAGTTTCTATGAACAAGTAGATGTACCATGGATTCATACCTTCTTTAGGTGTTGTGCTTGTCATGTAGGCAGCTGATGTTTTCAGACAGCCTCACATAGCCAGGAACAACCTTACCACAGCACATGTCAATGTTGTGTCTCTGGGTTCATATAGCAGAAATAAGTAAGAAACCAACTTTTTGATCTCCTGGTAACAGCAACAGTTTTAATGAATTTAGTAAGAAGTTGGTTGTTTTGTAAATATGAATCATGAAATAAACTAAAATTGAAAATTTCTATGTCTTTAAAATGTGTAAGTTGGCTGAGTGAGATGGCTTAGTAGGTAAACGGTTTCCAAGCCTGTTGGCCTCAGTTCAGTACCCATGGCACACATGGTGGCAAGTTTTCTGACCTCCACTTGTGAGCTGTTTCTCATGCAGACCCTCTACACACATTCAAATAAATAAATATAATAAAATTAAAATATGTAATTTATGCATAATTAGGTATTTCATCTTTAAGGTTGGGCACTTTGTTACTTACTAGTAAACTTTGTGTGCTTATTATTTCATATATTTTTCCATAATTAATGCCTAGTTTTCTAACTAAAAAATTTTTTGAGATAGAATCTCACTGTATATCTCCATGTAGCCTCGAACTGATATTGGTAATCAAGCTGGCCTTGAATTCACAAAGAACTCCCTTTTTCTACCCCTTTCTAAATGTTTGTGACAGAGTGTAGATGGCATATTTAGCATCTTAAAGCCAGCTCTAAACCATTCTCTTCAAAAAACAGAAGGTGAACTGAAGCATGATGAAGGCCTTCAGGAGAACACAGGGAAGAGTCAAGTGCATCTTGCTTCCTGTGCAGGAACGGACCGGCCGCTTGAGCCATTGAAGATCCTGATCATTTTAGAACCCTTAAGTGGAGAAATTTTTCTGGCAGGGTGTTTGCTGGTATTACTTGGTCTACATACTCTTTTTCTGCTCTTTGACTGGGTCTTCCTGTGTAATCTGTCTTGTGCTCAAACTCAGCTTCCTCCCTCCTCAGGCACTTGGGTTAAGTATGCACTACTAACTAGTCCAGCCTCAGATTTTATTTTATTTACTTATTTTAATTTTTAATAACTATTTTATGTGTATGAGTGTTTTGTTTGCATGTGTAAGTACTTTGTGTGTGGGTATGTCCATGGGTTTGTAGTTTCCATGGAGGTCATAATGTTACTGACAGTTGTGAGCTACCATGTATGTTTCAGAGCCTGGGGAACAAACTCCAATCCTCTACAAGAAGAGCAACTACTCTTGATCATGGAGCCCTCTCTCCAACCCCCAGCCTCAGATTTTGAAAGAATCAAATTAATTTGGATTTTATTGACTTTTCTCAATTATGCATTTTTTTGGTTTAGGATTTGCGTGCGTGTATGTGTGTATGTGTGTGTGTGTGTTGGGGAGCTGGGGCTTGAACCCAAGGGCTTACATGTGCTAGGGAAATGCACTGCCACTGTGCTGCATCTCCAACCCATTTGATTACTTCATCATGCTGACGTGTTTGTGTTTATTTTGCTAGTTGCCATAGGTTAGAACTGTAATTGTTGTTTTTGAAACCTTTTTTGTTACTAACATATGTACTTAATTAAGCACAAAGTTTTTCTCTAGGCCAACAGTTCTCAACCTGTGGGTTATAACCCCTTTGGGGGTTGAAATGCCCTTTCATGGGTTATCTAAGACCATCAGAAAACACAGATGTTTATGTTATAATTCATAACAGTAGCAATTATGAAATAGCAACAGAAATAACCTTATGGTTTATGGTCACCACAACCTGCAGAGCTGTGTGAAAGGTTCACAGCGTAGGAAAGCTGAGAGCCACCACTCTGGAGAGTTCTACGTCTGTTTGTTGGTTTTAAAGTAAATTTTCATTTAGAAACTATTCTAAATATTTTATTATGTAACATGTAGAAAGAAGAAAAAGAACAGCTAAACATTAGGGGATGAGGAAGAACCAAATGGCTATTCTAACTATAGAAGTTCATTTGAGTCTGGTTAATTTTGTTGTCTGAATTTTTCATGTGACATTTTTATAACAAAGTTTAAAAATTAAAAAAAATTAAATTATCAGGGGTAGAGTAGAGAGAAGAAAACAGATCCGCCTGCCTTTACTCTATGACATGTTTTTACCAAGATGCTTCCATGGGTCTGGGACACATGTTCTGTTAAGATGGCAGATGGTGCAGCTCATGTCGTCAGCAGTCGTCTGTGTACTGGTACTATCAGTTACTGACAAGCAGTTGTTGAGATCTTCAGCCACAATTGTAAACATCTTTTTAATTTTGCGTTTCTTTTTTGGTTTTGTGTATTT